TTGATAGATAGCCAAAGAGATTTCGGGCATATATCTTCATTCTTGCCAAAAAAGATGTGTAGCAAAGGGCACAGAGATGATGCATTTCTAAAATTTTTAATTTGAAAGATCGTGGGGTACAATTCAGAGTTAGGTATACAAATGTTCATTATGCAGGTACCCCTATTGAGAGGTGTGCGTTATTTTTTTTAAGTCCATCCCAATGGATTAGAAAGGGAGCTCAATGAAACTCACAAGTCTGTCGAGGGTGGCAATCTGGTCACACTCTACCTAAGAAAACTCCAACTATAAAATTAGCATATTTATGGTAAGTTTATGTTAGGTTGCTCAAATGCATTAATATAATAAGGGGTATTCTTTGTGACTTGAGCAGACTGTAAAATGCTATGACTTTTTAATAACCTTAAATCAAAATTATTCATGCATGAAAAGCCCCCAAAAACGTTTGTAAAAATAAACATAAAAGTGAAATCTAAAGAAACCAATTTTCAAATAAAATTTAAAAGTCCCAGCTGTATTAATTTAAACGTTTGCATCAATATCAAGTTACAGGAACAGGCAAACCTGAAAGTAATAATGCTATTCCCTAGATTTAGAATTTAGAAAACTTCCCCCCAAAACTGTATATATTTTAATAAATTTAAGAAAGATTGATTGCCTGACAGTTTTGTGAAGTGTATTGTAGATGCTCAGTCCATAAGATTGTTACATTTTATTTAAATGTTATTTTATGCTGAAAATGATAGCTATATTTTATAATTTTAAATTGCTAAATTAAAGGGGAAAAAATGTTGACCTCATTAAAAAGTTACTCAGTGATACAGATATTATTGGCTTCATGCTTCCAACAAGACTAAACTAAACTGAGAAAATAGTCATAGCTAAAGTAGAGAATTCTTTCAGCCTTGTCTAGAGTAATGTTAACCTCCACCAGTACTTGATGAGGCACGCTTTGTTAGTTCAGTTGTACTTGGCTATTTCTTGTCACTCACTGATTTATTGTATCGGTCACTTGGATCTATTTGAGCATTATTGTGTCCAATATTCACATTATATTTTGAGTGTCATTTCTGGTAATTTTATTAAAAGGAGTTTACAGCTAAACAAATATTAAGGAGTAAGGTCTCACTTCAGTACCACCATGACATTCCTCTGAGTTAATCACAAACAGGGATGTGGGTAAATATTCCTTGGAAATATACAGGCACAGGGCCCTAGAAGTCTGGAATGTTCCTTCCCTTCCCCAGAGGTCATCATTGCTTACTTATTTGTCCTCTATTAGTCCATGGTCACACTTTCCCTTCTGTGTCCTCATACTTGTGTATTTGGTAACAATTGAGCACAAGACTTAATTTATTCTTCTTAAGACCGTCAACTTCAATTAAGGTATTCATCCATAGTGGGGAAACAAAGTATGAACAAAACAATGAAAGGATACGCATTTTCACTTATCATCGAAAAACTCATTTTATATTTGGAAAATAACATCGTAGTAGAACTGTACTTTGGTATAATAACCTGGGGACCTTTATAAATAGTTTCAAAATTTATAATAAGATAATATTTTTGAAATAAGAAACATTTTCACCATAATTTAGAACCATGCGTTTTGAAAAGTAAAAAGCAATAGAGTATCTACAATAAGAAAAGTGTTCCATTTTGACAGTGTTCTTACATCAAATATATCACACTAAGTGTAATAAATCAAGAATCACAACACTAAAATAATTGTTCACTTGGATATATTCACCGTTCAGTGAAAACTTTCGAAGGTAAAAAAATGGTGCCAGAGAAATTAATGTTTTCTATTTTGAAATTAGAGTCCTATATCACTTGAATTTACAGAATCCCTTTCATGTAAAGATCCAAATACACTTTTCAAAAGATGTTTTATTAATTTTCACAGTACACATGTGAGGAATATGGTTGTAAGTTAGAAATGGTATGGTACTGATGAAGAAAGGTGTCTCCCCTCAAGTGGTGATAAAGCAAATGGGATTCCTGCTGGTTTGTAGCCTGAACAGGACATAAGTTTGAGAATTTGTAATAACTAAGTGTAAGTATCCACCAGTCTCAGGATCTCACGAACCCTGGAGCAATTTGCTCAAATTGGAGGTCAGTTTATTTAGATGTATGTTCCAGCAATGGAGTGAATGCTGTTTTAACAAATGTAAAGGGTTGCAACAGAAAAGCTGCTACCAAAACTTAACATGAAAAAATAATAAAAACAGATGAGAAAAAAAAGAAGGGATTTGGCACTTCAAGACATTCCCTGAGTCACAGAAGGAGAGAATGACCCAGATAGAAATCTATGTAGACACGAAACACTGCATGGGAATTATAATTGCAAATTTACAAAGACAGTGACTCTAATCATAAGTGATGTAACAAATCTAACAAAAGAAAAAGAGGGCAAGCAAAAAATAAGACAAAATATTTCTCCCACCAGCAAAATGAAGCAATGTATGATCCTTTTACAAAATGTCTTGACATTTTGTATTTCCCACATAGGATTTTAAAACAAGAAGCGATGTATATATTATACCAAATGACTGTGGTACAACTAGTTCTGACAAGTAAGAAAACTTTGGCAAAAAAAAGACAGTGATCATGAATGGAACCAGTGGTCATTAACTTAATTGAAACAACTCAGAAACAAAAAGTCAAATACCACATGTTCTCACTTACAAGTGAGAGCTAAATAATGTGTACGCGTGGACAGAGAGAGTAAATAGCAGAGAGTCTGAAAGAGGAGTCTGAGAGATGAGAAATTACTTCATGGGTACAATGTAAGTTATTCAGGTGATGGCTACACTAAAAGCCCAGATTTCACCACTATGTAATGCAAGTATTAGTATAAAGACGACACTAAATGTTAGTTTCGTATTTAGTATAGCATAAGGGCTGTAATACTATTAGTAATACACTATTTTTTTAACTTTTTTATTTTAGCTGATTTTTTAAAAATTTTAAATTTGGGCGCAATTTAGTATTAGGTATACAAGTGGTCACTGTACAGGTGAAGCTTGGGCCTTCCTTTGGTCCCCACTTTGCCTGGTTTGAGATCAGGTACACTTCTTGATGTTATGTGCCCCTCGTCCAGCAGTTGCGGTGCTATCAATCCCTTTCTTATCGTATTCTGGTAAATGTTCAGAGTCCACTATGAGTGAGAACGTGTGGTTCTCAGTTCTTTGTTTCTGTGATGGATCACTGAGCATTATGCACTCTAAATCCATCCAGGTTGCTGAGAAGTCCATAGTTTGTCCTCTATGGCTGCATAATATTTTGTCCTTCTCTATGGCTGCATAATATTCCAACAAGTATATGTACCACATTTTTCTTTTAGCCAGTCCAGTTTTGATGGGCTGCACGGCTGGTTCCATGTTTTTTCTGTTGTGAACAGTGCTGCAATAAATATGCATGTGCAGCTATCTTTTTGGTAGAATGATTTGAGTTCCTCCAGGTATATTCCCAGTAGGGGGATTGCTGGGTCATATGGAAGGTCAATTTCTAGTTCTTTTAGGAATCGCCACACTCTTTTCCACAGAGGCTAAACTAATTTGTAATCCCACCAAAAGTGTAGAAGCGTTCCCTTTTCCCCATATCCTCACCAGTGTCTGTTGTTTTTTGTTTTCTTAATAACGGCCATTCTTACTGAGGTTAAGTAGTAACTCCTGTGGTTTTGATTTGCATTTCTCTGATGATTTGTGAGACTGAGCACTTTTTCTTGCGTCTGTTTGCTGCCCATATAATACACTATATTTAAAATTATTATAATTTTTCTGTTCTCCATTTTGAGAATGCTCTTACATTTAATATCACACCAAGTATAATAAATAAGAGCCCTTCTGATGGTATTCAGTTAAGAATCACAACACTAAAATAATGACTCACTTGTACATATTCACTGCTCAAATATTTAGCAAAGTGCATGTAACAAAACTACACTTGTATCTCCTAATCTGTGCACCCTGTCCTCTCCTCTCTCTTCCCTACCCCCTACTCGTAGGTTTGATGTGTCTGACATGAGAATTACCAAGGTGGGAAGAGGAAAGACTTGAAGAAAAGGGCTACAAATGAATGAAATGTCTTCTTAATTATTCATGATTCCTTAAAATGCTAAGATTCCAAGCATCATTTCCATGCCCTAATTGGCCATGAATTTATTTTCTACGGGGCTCTTTTTTACTTGATTATAACACCCCCCTGCTCATGGACCCGTTTGCAGCACCCAACATTAGAAGAATAACAGCAACAGAAATGGTCTCCAAGACAGGGGACAGGTACACCTGTGTGAGTGTTCCACTGTGTGCTCTCTGACTGGTATCTGGGAAGCAGGCATCTTTTCTTCACATGATAACCAGAACTTATATTTGCATGTAGGGAGGGGGAGGAATAACACATAATAAGAATGTCAGCAGTGCCGAAGCATTCACACAGAGGAGTCAAAAGACAAGCAGAGTGAAGGAGTGAGTTACACAGGCAGATAGAAAGTGAGGCAAATGGTCAGACTGACAGAAACTAGGAAGCCCATGGAGAACCAAGATTGAGAAAGGATTGGGACCTTTTTCTTGTTTTGTTCAATGCAGAAGGAAATTAATGGGACGATAACTCTGAGCAACAAGGGAAAACTGAAGCCTGGCCTGAGGAGTTAAACTTTCTTTGGAACTTCTCACATCTCTTTTCTAATAAATAGTTAAAAGAAAAGGAAGTCTTGGGAGTCTTTAGATTCGACCAGTCAGGATATTACAGAGAACCGAGAAAAACTTCTATCTTCAATATTCCTTTTGAATATCACTTCTAAGAGAATACATGAAAGCTCTGCAGACTATCTGGGTCCTCTATCACTCTGCAGTTAACAAAACCATTTTCTCCTTAACACACTAGAATTGCAATGATCTTTCGCGGCAAGAGCAGGCGAGGGCAACCATTGTTTGGAATTTGTTTATTTGGGGAGAAAATTCTAAGATTTCTATGTTTATGCGCCTGCTTTCACTTACAGACCTTTTAACGAATTCAGATGAGAAAAGCTCCCAGTCAGGAATTTAGATGATTTGTTGTTATGCAAAAATCTGGGGATAAAATGGAAGATAAATTTTAATCACCACACAACAACAATAAATTGGGGGAACAAAAACGTGGGTTTTTTTTCACCTTGTGGTGAACCCAAGACTTTCAAAATAAAAATATTTCAGTAAGAAAGGGCAAATGGAAATCAGAACGTCATTTTGCAAGCATCATGAATGATTTGAAGAGTTACATGTCGGAATCTTTCATGGCATGAGTATTTTCTCATCTGTGTAATTTGTGATTATTTTTACTTTATATAGTTAGAGATTCCAGATGCTAATGAGAAATCCATAAACATAAATACTTAGGCATGCAGACAATCAAGGCAAATGATATATTCATTATCAGTATGCTATGTATATGTACACAAATCAGCATGTTGTACCCGTTGATTATATGCAATTCTGTCAGTTAAATATTTTTAAATGGAAAAAGAATGGCACCATAAATCATATATGACCACAGCTGCCTGCAAAGGGGCCATGATTAACTGAATCCTGCAGACGCAGCCACCCTCTGTAGCCAGGTCAGCTCACCCTAGCCATAGACCTGCTGAAACAAGAATCCCATTTGACACTGCTGCAGTTGCTGATCCTCCATCAGCCGCCTGTTGGCTCTCAGGCCAAGCCCATACCCCAGGCCATGGCATTTCTCCCCACTTCTTTCATACGGACAGTCCTGCATGGGCTTGGGCTCTCCTTGCTGCGCTGACCATACCGCCTCCCCCATTGCGACAAGAGATTACAGCCAGAGAAATCACTGGCCAGGGACTGTCTGGTCCCCAGGACCACTGAATGCACACTCCACCAAGAGCAACTGTGTGAAGAGAGGAAAACACAAGGGTCTCTGCCGCACAGAGAAAAGATGAACGCCATTTTTTTTAAGAGTCAAGAAAATGAGCATTTACAAAATAAATTCCATCTAGAAAACTTTAACAGTGAACTACATCCAGCCTCTCTGTGAGTCCTGCTTCATAACTAGTGTTTCTGTCTCAAAGTTAAATAAGATCATGTGGCCATGGTTTCTTATCAGTGTTCTAGTTTGGGCTTTATTTTAACTTTGTTTTTGACCAGAGCTAATATTAAGGGAGAATGAGCTAGAGCCAGAAGCTTTTTATGGTTTTGGAAACTCGCATTTTATGAAGGTACTGCTGAGAAGATATAAAGTTCTCATCTTTGCCTGCCCAACCAATTCATCAAACTCAGAAGCAAAGACTAGAGAAGAAATTGTGATGCAAAGATGGGTATTGACAAAGAATCTCTTCTTGACCAAACTCTACTCAAGCTCTTTCCCAACTAGACTGGACTTCTGGATTTTGATGTTCATCCCTGCATTGTCCAATTTTAGCAAGAATTCTGCGGGTCAGTTCAACCAGATTTCCCCCTCCCTGAATCTCTGATAACATTTTTCTACTTCCCCCATTCCCCAGGTGATGTCTGATCACCCTGGCCTGCCTTCTGCAAAAATCTTGTTAGATAGATTTACCCAGAATTTACCCCTCACCCCTGATATTCCTATCGGTAATTTTCCATCCACTGATCCTCCCTCTGCTCCTGGGCTATCAATTCCAATTCTCCCATTTGAAGTTCAGCCCAATGTTCCTCCCCAGTGCAAAACCCCATGGCAGTGGTCCCTGTACCCACAGCCATGGGCTCCCTTGAATAACATCTTCCTTATCATGCTGTAACAAGTGTCCTTGAACAATGCTTCCTTTAATGGTGTGCAAATGAATGCCACACAGTAATTTTCATTCTCCACTGCAAGGCCTAAGCCCCATGCAATTTTCCTTATCCCAGGGAACATCAAAACAGAGTGTCATGATAAAGAAACAGCTTATAGTATATTACGCCAAATCTTAGGAAAAACCACATAACCTGAACAATTTACACTTGTTTTATTTTTGCTAGGCAACGGGCTTATTTCATTATTTTATAAGTCGTGCAGGTCTACAAGATAACAACAGAAAAAAGGCTGCTGTTCCTTCTTTAAACATATTTAAAAGATTTGAAATTGCACAATAATTGGATATTGAAAGATGTTATCTATTTTCCAGCCAAGGAGACCAGAATTAATTGTTTAACAGGCAAAGCAAATCAAGAGAAAAGCAAGACATATCTATCAAACAGATTTTGAAGCAACATATGTAAATGCTGAAAAATCATTCTTGAATTTTTTTTTAATTTTGTACAAATGGTGAAAAACACATTCAAATTAATGTGAATTTTACATCCATTAATGTCAAACATATTATATGGCTTTCAAATCAGATATTTGTACAACGCGATATTTTTACAACTGTTTGTTTTCAGACAGATACTATCTCTAACCCTCAGTTACTTTATCCATAAAATGAAGAATTATTATAATAATAATAATAATTATCATTGCTTATCTTCCAGAATAGTATCCCAGCGACAGGGCTAAAACAGAAGTAGGGTTGCAGCAGCACAGATTTGCAGGGGTGCAAAAATTTATGTTTGAAGTTTCTCTTTTTCTCTTTCCTCTTTCCAATTTCCCTGAAGTTAATCTCCAAAAATGCTCTACAAAGTGATTTGTTGATTTCTGGTTGTAAAATCACTTTGATTGCTTTACTCGCAAAAGAACCTAAAAAGCACTTTTCCCTAAAGTGAAAAGCTTGGAGTAATCTGCCTTCCAGCACCCACCCCGACAGTTGGTATTTCAAGTCTTCCCATCCCTGGTTTTTCACAAGAGGCCACCTTTACTACCATCCCAGGACCAGAACCCCTCCACCCTGCTTTCTCAGCAGAACTTTTCCCAGAAAGAATGGCTGGAGTGATTGCCACTCCCAACACCACAGCACCAGGCTGAACACTGGCAGCAGGGCTGCAGAGCGAGTGCAACCAGGGAGCCTGAGGCAGAGTCCAAAGGAAATAGCAGGAGGAAGCCACCCCGAGCCTGAACTGGGCTCCAGAGCCTTGTCACCCAGTCTGATATCTGGAGACTGTGGTAACTGCTGGAGAGGGAGCTATCAACCCCATTGGTGACAGGAAAAGCAGCCGGCAGAGGCACTGAGCAGACACTCTGATGCCTGAGCAGAGAAGTGCTCCAAGGTGGCCATCTTGAGACCAGGTGCAGACCCATTGCGTTGGGCCTGCTCTTTGCAATGACCAAAGAGAACATTGCCCCCAGGACACAAGCTCTGGCAGGTAACAGCAGATGCAGAAGCCCGGACGATCCACCCTGCATCCTGAGCCAGCTGCTGGGCCACACAGGCCTTCCCCAGGAGGAGCCTGGCGAGTGCCTGACTGACTTCCCCTGCCACAGGAACAAGTGAAAAAAGATCAGCAGGGCAGAGCAGAGACAGGAGGCCCCATTCCCTTGGCATGAAATGGATGCCCAGGAGCTGTGACAAAACTGGGAGAGGAAGGAATGGAGTGAGATATCCTGAGAGATGCTGTGTCAAGTTGTTTCAGTCCCCTTCCCTTACCAATTGGAGGTAGCAGGGGGTGAAGATTCTTGTTTTTGTTTTGTTTTGTTTTGGTTTTGAGTTGGAGTCTCACTCTGTGGCCCAAACTCCCGGCCACCGCAGCCTCGACCTGCTGGGCTCCAGCGATCCATCTGCCTCAGCCTTCCAAGTAGCCGGAATGACAGGCATGCGCTACCACGCCCGGCTGATTTTTTGATTTATTGTAGAGATGAGGTCTCGCTGTCCAGGCGGGTCTCGAACCCACGGGCTCAGGCAATCCACTCACCTCAGCCTCCCAAAGGCACGGGATTGGTGAAGATTCTAAGTTCGGAAGTTCCGACAGCAAAAAGGGAACCTGCACTAACAGCCCTACAGTCACAGAACCCATCACCAGAGGGAGCCCTGCCTCTCAAAGAGACACCCTAAAACCAAGAAATCTTTATCAACCTTTTTTTCATTTTTTTGTTTTGTTTCAGGGAGGTATCAGTATGTTTGATTATCTGATTTGGTTGCTTTGTTTGTTGACTGGTTTGCTCTTTTCTTTCCTTCTTCAATTTCTCTTTCTCTGTTTTGTGCGTTTTTTTCTTCTGTTTTTTTTTTTTCTATTTTTCTTTCCCTTTTTTCTCTCTTTTGTCTCTTATACCCTGTCTTGAATTCAGGGGCTATGCAAGTATACCCACTGTAGGGTCATGTTGTGCAGAGACTAAGAGCAAGTCCCTGCTGGCCCATTCACCAGATAGCAACTATCATGGCCTGCTAATAGGTCCAGAATCACTGCAGCACCCCAAACTCCTAGTAAGTGCACAAAATTGTAAAGAGACAGCACAATGCCCCACTCCCAGCCATACATAATTAAAGAAACCCAGAGCCCCAGCTCAAGGAAGGACAAAAAGCAAAGCAAATATCAGCAGCTATTCCTTCATTATTTTCCACTGAGCAACAGAATTAAAGAGAAAGATAAGAATACTGCTACAAATGAAGAAAAACCAATTAAAAATTGCCAGTAACCATCAGAGTCCCAGCAAAGAGTCAGTGCTGGAAAAAACAGCTACTGGGACACAAACACTGACTATCTCCCAGAATGACAGTACCCAGAAGGTACTTACAGAGACAAAGAATCATTGGATAGAATGAATAAAAATCAATAAATGCAAGGGTTAAAACTAAATAAAATTGCAATGAAGCTAGACAGACTCAAGAAACCATACTCAGAAATAACAGAAATAAAGGACTTCATCCAATAAGCAAAGATATAACTGACAAGCATGAGAAGCAGAATTGACCAAGCAGAAGAAAGAATCTCAGAGCTGGAAGACCAAAATATGGAATTAACCCAATCTATTACAAACATAGAACAAAAAAATTAAGAAGAAAGAGGAAACTCTCCAAGAGATGTGTGATGTGATCAAGAAACCAAGCCTCCATCTGATTGGAAAACCTGAAATATAAAGAGAAATGGAAAACACCATGGAACAAACATTCTATAAGGTCATTCAAGAAAACTTCCCTCATCTAGCCAGAAAGACGAATATACAAGCATGAGTGGTCCAAAGAACCCCTGCAAGGCATCTGATG